ATATATATATATATAGATATATATATATATATATATATATATATATGCGAACAAGCCTGAATGGTCCCCAGGACAATATGCAACTGAAAACTCACACCCCAGAAGTGACTCGAACCCATACTCCCAGAAGCAAACACAACTGGTATGCACAAGACGCCTTAATCCACTTGACCATCACGACCGGACAAAATGAGGTGATAGCCTAAGCTATTTGAACCACCCCACCGCCGGCACTCGGATAGTAATCTTGGGCATAGCATTTTACCAAATCACCTCATTCTTTGGGGCACACGTGAGGAACACAAATGCGAACAAGCCTGAATGGTCCCCAGGACAATATGCAACTGAAAACTCACACCCCAGAAGTGACTCGAACCCATACTCCCAGAAGCAACACAACTGGTATGTACAAGACGCCTTAATCCACTTGACCATCACGACCGGACAAAATGAGGTGATAGCCTAAGCTATTTGAACCACCCCACCGCCGGCACTCGGATAGTAATCTTGGGCATAGCATTTTACCAAATCACCTCATTCTTTGGGGCACACGTGAGGAACACAAATGCGAACAAGCCTGAATGGTCCCCAGGACAATATGCAACTGAAAACTCACACCCAGAAGTGACTCGAACCCATACTCCCAGAAGCAACACAACTGGTATGTACAAGACGCCTTAATCCACTTGACCATCACGACCGGACAAAATGAGGTGATAGCCTAAGCTATTTGAACCACCCCACCGCCGGCACTCGGATAGTAATCTTGGGCATAGCATTTTACCAAATCACCTCATTCTTTGGGGCACACGTGAGGAACACAAATGCGAACAAGCCTGAATGGTCCCCAGGACAATATGCAACTGAAAACTCACACCCCAGAAGTGACTCGAACCCATACTCCCAGAAGCAACACACCAGTTGTGTTGCTTCTGGGAGTATGGGTTCGAGTCACTTCTGGGGTGTGAGTTTTCAGTTATATATATATATATATATATATATATATATATATATATATATATATATAATACATATATATAATGATAATTATATATATGTAATATAGAACTACATAATATACTTTCCTATATATATAAGGGGGTAGAAAGAGAATGTGCGCCAGAGCCTGACAAGACTCTCATATTACCAAGGTGGTAAAATAAATAAATATATATATACAGTGTGGCGATACAGAGGGGAAATGCGCACTGCATCCAGGGTTCCTGCCCGCCATCTGAGGAGCTGGAGGAACTCGACAACCTATGATAACCATCTTTGTAACCCATATGTAACTCCTTTTTTGTAACAAAGTTCAAATAAAGTAGGTATATATGTGTACATACAAAAGAATGGGGGTGGTAGGAGAAGATAATATTAGTGTTCAGTGAGAAACCACAAGGTCTCCTCTGAATACTTTTTACTTTCTTCTCCGAGGCTATGGGTCCCCACATTGGCACCAGAGGTGGTACCCTCACAAACTTTTATATATATATATATATATATATATATATATATATATATATATATATATATATATATATATATATATCACTACAATTCTTCAAATCTTATGTTTGACTATGTAGAATATTGTAAAATCAACCCACCAGACTAACAATTCAACTTCAGTACACAGAGGTCGAGTCTATTATGATGTCAGTGTGATATTTGGGTGTGATTTTACACAAACTTTGGGTAAAGTTACATTTTTATACAACTTTACTGCGTATATAACTAATTTTACGCACTTCATATTAGTGATGAACGTCAACTAGACCTATTCCTCACTTCATACTCTTCCTCCTAGATTCGTAAGTATACTTGAAGCTGTAATGACCTATCTGAAAAACTAGGTAAAATTTTTAATTCGCTATTATATAAATTTTACATTATTTATTTCATTAAAACTAACGTTTCCATTAATAGCGACTACATACTGTGGACCCTAATTTATATTCGACCTGTACATACTTTAATTTTAACGATTACAAATATTTATACCTGTATATATTTTGTGTAAAATATATACTGTATTAAAAATAAGTAAAATAGGGTGTCAGTTGGGTACTTCACCTTCTGTAAACATATCCAAAACGACTGCTGTTAGCCGCCATATATTAAACTGGACTTGTCAAGAGGGCGAGACATACGAGCCTTTATGGTCAGTTTTCGCAGAGTAAAAATTAATAAATTTACCCCAACCATTAACAATGGTACACAATTATTACAACAATTTTAATTAATATTTATTACTTATTAATTAACATTTATCATTTTACCATTCAGGCCGAGCTTGGGGAGTATAAAAATTCCCAGAAACCCATCAAGCAGGTATAAAACAGGTATCACTGACACGTATAAAGTTAATGAAACTAATATTTTAACCGCATTACTTTTGTCTTAGAATTTAACACTAAAAAGTCTTGGTCTTGACAGCTTTAATCATATTTAATATTTATATTGTATTTTAACATTTTGAATTACCAGGACTACAAATAATATAACCGCATTATGTACATTTTGCATATTCTTGAAGATATCGGAAATTATTTTAAAGTACTTGTTTCTTGGAGAAAATTAAAGTCCTCCGCAGTTCTGTTGTAAATGTTAAAAATACATTAGGCATTAAATTCTAAATCTTTGTTTTAGGTGCCAAAACATCTCTGCTTTATAGGCCAGTGATTTTCAACCCGGGTTACGCGAGAAAAGTATGGCAAACCGAAAAAACAATTAGCAATAAATATTGTATGGGTACGTTCACAAACGTTCTGAATTCTTAGGTATATATATTTTTTAGACGTTTCGCCATGATAACGAGATTAGGAATCACTGCGCTAGGCACTACATTTAAAGTAACAACATCCAGAATTGTATGGAAATGTATGACTACAGCTGTGTCTATAATCCAGGGACAATGTTCCGAGTTCTATGTTGTTATGCTGTACATTATTTAATTTATAACATGTTCCATTCCATCTCAACATTAATAATGCATAATAAAAAATAAATATGAACATTATTTCACAATGGGCAAATTCCAAGTGAATTATTTATTGTGGACAAGACGGTACACTGGGTTGTGCGTACTTAACATAGGTGTACGTTCTTGCAAGCGCCGTAGGATATGACTGCAAGTACCAAGTGCTCTATCTTTACTGCTTATACGACCTAAAGTACTTAGTGCTGTGTCTCAGGAGTGCTATACACGTTGTACCTCAGTCTGGTATAAATTGCTTAATTAGTGGCTTTATTAAAAATTAAGTTCTTAACTAATTTTTTAAACTTTTTTGACCAGAATTCGTCAAACAAATTTTAAAACTGAAAACGAATCAGTTACAGCCCCGCTCCTGTGTCAGGTAAGTCCACTACGGGCTCACCATAGCCTGTGCTACTTTGAACTTTTGTTCTGCGTAGCTGAATCTAAAACAACATGAAAAGGAGCTTCATCGTATGCCATGCACAGTTGCCGTGTACGTTCACTCGCAGGCTGAGTGACGCTGCCCATTACTCTCTCCTTCCAGGGGAAAATTTAATAAAACTCTAAATTAACAAAGCACGGACTTTTGAGGTAATTTTTTCATATTACGGATTCATATTATTGGATTCGTCAGGAAGATTATCATCGTGCATACTATCGCAAAACCGCCACACTGAAGAGCTCAATTTATCGTTCTCGGAACAGCCAAACTTCAACCATTCCTTGCACTGGAAAATCTCTCTCTCTCCAGAAACAGCCTATCCTCAACCATTTCTTTCACTGGATAAATAGTCTACTACTCTACGAATAGTCTATCCTTACCCATTCCTAACACGGGAGAATGTCTACTACTCTACTAATAGCCTATCCTCTATTATAACACTTAATCTTATACTCTTGGAATAAGATATTTTCAACCAACACCAGAATCATTTAGCGCTCAAGGTATATCCTAGCCTTACCTATGGAGGTTACTCTATCACTCGAGGGAGGAACGCCATCCACCTTATGAGTGCACCCCAACCTTACCTACCCCAACACTGAGGGTCGTTATCTGCCCCTCTAGGGGCACCTCATCCTTTCCTATCCCAACAGTGACGGGCGTTATCTACCTCTCGAGGGACACCCCCATCTTTGCCTACCCCATCACTGAGGGCCATTCAGCTGGCACTCGAAGCGCCCAGCAGTGTCTCGAGAGCTTTGCCTGCCACAACCGACGAGAGTGGCAGCAGGTGGCGGTGTGCCAGGCACAGTCACTTCTCGCCGCCACCTTCGTCAGTAGAGCCAGGCCCACCAGACGTATCATGTCCTTGCATGAAGACAAATGTCCATGCCAGAAGGGAGAGCACGACTGACTGCAAGTTCCTCGCCATCACGCATCATACAGGTCCTGAGGAACATGTCCCCCTGAACGCACTACGCCAGTAATGCGTAAATAATAGTGACTGCGCATAACGGATCTCGCTGGCCTGTGCGTGCAATAGTGGCTTATGAAATACAAAAAGTTTTAAAGATCGGTCAGGAACTTTCGCATAACATTCACCTCCAAACTTCTCTCAAGATGTTTACAGTGTCTCGCGACTGAAAGGTTGTGGCCTACAAGTGACCGTCGGGATATCAAACAAAATCGTCGTAGAGCAACAAACCTTCAGGACCGGATTGTTCCCTTTAATTTGTCAACATAAAAGGAGTGTGTGCATGGACTGACTGACTGACTCTCTCTCCCTCTCTTAACCCTTCCGGGGCCTTGCACCGTTTGTCCTCCTCCCAGGGCGGCGAACATGGGCCTACTGAGGCGGCCGCCCCGCCACCCACCCCGCCGCCCGCCGCCCAGCTCCGCCTCTCGCCTCCTACTGGTCCACAACCACAAAATGGCGGATTTCCACGCATGCGCACCGCCGCCTCCGACCATTATGATGAATTATTCACTATATGCATCATGCTCTTTTTATTACTTTTATGTAATCAATAAAAGACTCGGGCATCAAAATTATTAAATATACCGACGGCCAACTAACTCGTGCTGAATTAAAAGTACTTTATGTGATAAAAGTATAGCGATTTGGCTGCGTATAGGTTTTCTTTCCGTTCGAGAAGCAGTTTGAAGTGTTAATGTTTTTTAGCAAGGAAGTCACTACGATGTCAAAAATCGTCGTAAGGAAGTGCTTGCATCAGCAGCGTCTTGTGTGTGTTCCGACCCTCTATATAATACAAACATCTATACTTCTCGCAAACAAAACAACCCCGAAATGTCACTTTTATAATAAATATCCCCTCCGCTATTGCCGAGAAACACTTTTAAACACACAAGAGAGCAAATATAAGTTATGGGTTAGCGAGTAAAGGTGCCGTGTGGACGACAAGATGGCTGGTTAGGGCGCGCCAGGCCCGCTCCCAGCTGACTGTGCTGCTCTATTGTCCTCTCTAACGTGTCCCAGCCGGCTTGCCCTTCCTTCCTTCCCACCTAGTCGGCTCTTGCAACATCGTAGGGGTATATGGTCGTCCCATAAATACCACCAATGCCGGATTAGCTACTGAATCGTACCAAGGTAAGAAGGTTCTTCACGTTCAGCTCGAGCCCCCCGTTGCCACGCTCTCTCTCCTCAGTACTGGTAAGCAACTGCTAGGACATTATGTTGGTACTCTTCACGTCTAGTGTACATTCCATTTGTTATTTATCGTCTCGCGCTTTATTTATAAATGTATAAATTAACTTATACATTTTAGCTGCAATTATTGGTTATGGAATCAATAATAAAGGTTTTGTACTGGTCGCTTTTCATACACTCTTTGAAGGTGTTTTTGATTATATTTGTTTACGTTTTTGTGAGCCACAAATACCGGTCATGACGTCACTCTGACGTCACACTCGTGTCCCAAAAGCTTCCAAACTAATTACTAATTTCAGCTGCATTAATTTAACTTTTATTTACATGGTTGATATTGGAATGCCGACTATAGGTTCATCACATCGGTATAACTGAAAAATTAAATTTATATAATAATAATAATAATAATAATAATAAATAATAATAATAATGAACAACCCTGTGGATGTTCTTCCTATTTGGGGGGGGGGGGGTGATGAACACTGTTCACTCACCAACCCAGCCGCCTGTTGTGGACCATCGTATGCATATTGACGTAATGGACGTATGTGGAAAGTAGAATTTGGCACTAATGAATTTGGACAAACATAAAAAGGTTTTGTATATATGTTGCTGATCAAACTTAAGCTAACCATCCTAGACTTAATACACGCTCTCTGAGGACTAATATAGTACATATATGTGTGCTATACTTACGATTATTTAAGTTTGTTTTTAATTTACGTTTTTCTGGACTATATTAGTGAATAATACCAAACTCTTCTAATTGTTCAGTCAACATATGCACGAGGGTGGACATGGTTACAAAAAGTACTCTCTAAACCGGAGGATGAGGTTGTCACTCACTGGATGAGGTTGTCACTCACTGGATGAGGTTGTCACTCACTGGATGAGGTTGTCACTCACTGGATGAGGTTGTCACTCACTGGATGAGTGACGCTGCCTGATCAACTAGCCCTCAGTGGCAAAATAAAAAAATTATAAAGTATTATTAAAATATTGCCCGATAATTAAATTGTAAAACCACATAAACGTCAAATCTTTAACTTATCTAAAATATTGAGTTTAATTATTAACTAACAAAACGTACAAATACTGTACCTACAAATTAACCATTAATCTGATCTGTATTACAAATAAAATATTGAATATTAATTTTATTAGTAATTATCATAGTAAATATTAATTTAAGTACGTTGATCTGTATACGAGCTTTTATCTATTTTTGGTATTGGGCGTACAGCGATAAAAATGCCTTGGTGGTGGTTGAGCTTCAGCTCCTGGCCTCGCCTCTCGGCGAGCATTCGGGTGTTATAATGTTTCTCAGGCCCCCGGAGTTTCTTTGTACATCATGTGCATTAATTTAAAAAAGAACTGATTTATCTTATGATGCGTCCTCGAATGATGAAGATTTTCTATGACTTACCGTCCTGGGGGGGGTCCCGCCCCATCATCCTGGGCCCCACCCCTTATGGGGGTCTCCTTCCCCCCCCCCCCATCGTCCCAAGCCTAATCCGTACTTACTTGCTTAACAGTATCTTAACGAGGGAGTGAGGTTTAATTCTTTTTGCCTTGTCTACTAGCCTTGGTGTTCCTAGTAGGCATCCATCAGTCTCAGGAGACTATGGAGTTGCGCTCTGGTTGTCGGTCTGGAGTAGCCTCACCAGGGCGCAAAGCCAGGGTAGGTTGATTCGGGGGACAAACTGTTACCCAGGCAGCAGGTCCCCCGAATGACGCTGCCTGCGTCCTATTGCGCTATAATTTTACTATTCTGACGTTCGAATTCTTTGTCGAATCTGGCCTTAAAGTTGTGGATGGAGGTGGCTTCCACAATTCTTTTTTTTCAGTGCCTTCCACGTGTGACCATCCGTTCAAGGTACGAGTATTTCCCTACATTCCTTCGGCATATGTACGATTCTAGCTTTCACCTGTGTCCCCGTGTCCTACTTTCTCTGAATTTGAAGAGCTATCCTTGTCCATCCCATCAGTACCTTGCATATTGTGATCATATCCCCTCTGTCCCTTCTATCCTCTAGGGATAGAAGTTAATGTTAATGTTATTTCCATCATTAGCTTATTATTGTAGTTTTATCATCTTAGCTCTGACTCCCATCTTGTTGCAGACCTTTGTACTTTTTCAATCTTGGTTGTATGCTTCACAAGGTGCATATTCCAGTATTGATCTAATGAATGTTGTATAGATTGACTTGAAGGGATCCTGATTTAGGCTTCTAAACCACAATTTTATCATACGTTGCCAACTGCATACTGCCGTTATGTAGGTAACATATTCGTCATAGTAAAAGACTCGGATGAACTAAAAGCCATCTAGAGTGTCAGTACTCCGATTTACACATGAAAATATTGAAGATAACAGTCTGCCAATCTTGGATGTACTAACAAAAACAGGAACCTCTTTAAGCATCAGCGTATATACTAAGCCTGCCAACATAGGATTATGCCTGAACGGTAGAAGTGAGTGCCCCCAAAGTTACAAAGCCTGTGTTCTCAATGCTTATATTCGTCGAGCGCTTACCCACTGCTCCGAATGGAGCAACATCAGTTGATCTGGTTGATGGGGTTCTGGGAGTTCTACTCCCCAAGCCCGGCCCAAGGCCAGGCTCGACTTGTGAGAGTTTGGTCCACCAGGCTGTTGCTTGCAGCGGCCCGCAGGCCCACATACCCACCACAGCCCGGTTGGTCCGGTACTCCTTGCAGGAAACAATCTAGTCCACGGTTGTTCCGGCAATATTTCTTATGCTCGTGGGAGGGTGTTGAACAACCGTGGACCTCTGATGTTTATACAGTGTTCTCTGTGTCTATGGCACCCCTGCTCTTCACTGGTTCTCGTCTGCATTTTCTTCCATATCGTTCACTCCAGTACGTTGTTATTTTACTGTGTAGATTTGGTACTTGGACCTCCAGTATCTTTCACGTGTATATTATTTGATATCTCTCTCGTCTCCTTTCTAGTGAGTACATTTGGATGGCTTTGAGACGATCCCAATAATTTAGGTGCTTTATCGCGTCTATGCGTGCCGTATATGTTCTCTGTATTCCCTCTATTTCAGCAATCTCTCCTGCTCTGAAGGGGGAAGCGAGTACTGAGCAGTACTCAAGACGGGACAACACAAGTGACTTGAAGAGTACAACCATTGTGATGGGATCCCTGGATTTGAAAGTTCTCGTAATCCATCCAATCATTTTCCTAGCTGATGCAATATTTGCTTGGTTATGCTCCCTAAACGTTAGGTCGTCAGACATCATTATTCCCAAATCCTCGACATGCTGTTTTCCTACTATGGGCAGATTCGATTGTGTTTTGCACCCTATATTATGTTTAAGGTCCTCATTTTTACCGTACCTGAGTACCTAGAATTTATCACTGTTAAACATCATGTTATTTTCAGATGCCCAGTCGAAAACTTTATTAATATCAGCTTGAAGTTTTTCAATGTCTTCAGTCGAGGTAATTTTCATACTGATTTTTGTGTCATCTGCAAAGTATGATACGAAGCTGTAACTTGTATTTTTGTCTATATCTGATATGAGAATAAGGAAAAACAGCTGTGCAAGGACTGTACCCTGAGGTACAGAGCTTTTAACTGCGCTTGGACTAAATTTAATATGGTTGACTGTTACTCGCCGAGTCCTGTTTGACAGAAAACTGAGTATCCAGCGTCCTACTTTACCGGTTATTCCCATTGATTTCATTTTGTGTGCTATCACTCCATGGTCACATTTATCGAAAGACTGCGAAATCCGTGTATATCACATCAGCATTCTGTTTTTCTTCAAATGTCTCGGTTACTGTCGTAGTGATCAAGTAGCTGTGAGAGGCACGATCTTCCCGCTTGAAATCCATGTTGGCCTGGGTTGTGAAGGTCATTAGTCTCCATGAAATTGGTGACCTGACTCCTAATCACTCTCTCAGATACTTTTATTATGTGCGACGTTAGTGCAACTGGTCTATAATTCTTTGCCAATGCTTTGCTACCTCCCTTGTGTAGAGGGGCTATGTCTGCTACTTTAAGTGCATGTAACACCCATGACCACCCCCCCCACCCAGGGAAGCCTTCTCCAAGAGGTCAGCCCAGATGACCTCTGGATTATCTTGTATGTTGATTAAAAAATTCCTGGGTTAGTCTTAGTCAGCTAGTTTCAAGTATGTAATATTTTATGATACTTTTGTCAAACATTGCAATGGAATTAGACTCCAGATTCTTATGTGTAAACATCCATGGATCTCCCCCTTTTGGCCAGGTCAGAGGTCAGTCACACACGTAATTAATAACTCCTCTCTTGAAGTGTGTATGGTGAATGTCAAACAAGCTTAATTGAAATATTTTTAAGTGTTTGTGCACGTGTGGCCCGACCCCCCTTGCATTTCTGATCTAAGTTGCAACAGTAAATCTTCCCCTCCCCCTTTTTCGAGGGTATATATATTGGTCTTGTAGAGATTTAGGGACAGAGTGTAGGACACCCGGATCGAGAGCGGGTCTGTGAAGAACATCTCAGCCAGGGAGAGACAGAGGTCTTAAGGTAATGTGTGTGATCTCTGAAGTTTTGTTCCATGTCCAAATTTCTTAACTTTTTGTGCCAGTGTTAGAGTAGGATTTATAAGTGGTGATTGACATAATTTTGGTCTCAATAAACTCATTTTTTAAATTTCCCGTTTGTGTCAATTGTTGAATCCTCTTAGCCTTTTGGATATAGTGGCTGACAACCGTTTTCATAATTAATGACAGTCATAATGACAGTGTTATCAAGTGCAACCAATGGGGAAGTGTTAAAAAGGATAAGTAGTGTTTACTTTATTAGTTTAGTGTTCCATTATAGTGGTGCATTATAGTGGTGTTACAATTAGTAGGTGTACAAAAGAGCGGTGTTACAAGCCTACTGGGCTCTATCATATCTACATTTAAAACTGTGTATGGAGT